TCATTCAAAGTGTGAGGCTGCTTCCCCCTCCCCCACCTCCACCACATTTTCTTAACTTAATAACAGGTTGGTTGATCTTTCCTTCCTCCTCCCTTTCTTCTTAATTATGATCTGCCAAGATGCACATGTCCACAGAAGTAGAACTGAATTCTTGTGCTGGATATTAGAGGAGATGATTTAGCACTTAAATCCTCCAAAAGTACTTTTCTTGGGTAGTTTGATATAGATGTCAGCTTCTTATCACAAAGGATTTATGGGTTGTCTTTTATTTAATCCCAAAAGTCTTTGATCCTGTAACTGGAATGTTGTTTGTACTAGCAGAAATTTGGTAGCCAGGGCTTCATACAATAATGTTCTCTGACTCTCTGGTACAACATAGCAAACTACAATTGCTGTCTGTCTGTTTGTTAGTAATCCATATTTCTGTGTCTACCACTTCTCATTCTGTGGTTCAGGACCAATACAATAGGATGTCCTCCAACCATTATCATGGGAGAATGAAAATTGCTCTGTGTCAGTTCTTTCGTATCTGGGACAACAGGCACTACAAAATATGACAGCTGCTTTCCAAATCACAGACCTTCTTCACAGGAACATTTTCCCTATGATACATCCCAGTTTCTACTTCAGTGGAAAGAAAGCAGTGAACATCAAACACACTGGTGTGTTTTTTACAGATATCCATATCATGCCAAATCCGTGTCAGTGTTTCTCACCTGGAACATGATCCGATTTTTCTCGTCTAATTGCAGTGAATGATCATGGTTGGTTTTCAACAGGGTCTCTTCTCAATTTGCAACCCATTCATTGATTCATTATGAATTTTACAGTTTTCCATTTATGGCTTTCTTTGATCATTTAGATACGTGACAACAATTATTCCTAGAACAGTTTCTGCCTCAAGGAATGACAACATATAGGGAACTTCATATGGGTCTTTAAACAGATCCTAAAGACTCTTTTTCATATATACCTGGTTAAGCTTTTTTCTTTTTCCGTGCAACATAGTGGTAACAACAGAAAAAAAAAACCAAACAAAAAGGATGGCAAATTAATGATAATATATATTGATATGTTTCATGATATTAACACCTCCACTGATTTAGGAACAGTGGGAGGAAAGAGAAACACAAGGGGATGGGGAAGGATTAACATTTTCATTCCAGATATATGTGTTAATATAAGCATCTAAGTCAGTCTCCATGTGAGTAGAACTTTTATTTATTTTATTTATTTATATTGAGATTTATATCCTGCCTTTTTCCTACAAAGGGCTCAAGGCAGCTTACATCATCTCTCCTCCTCCATCTTATCCCCACAACAACAACCCTGTGAGGTAGGTTGGGCTGAGAGGCTGTGACTGGCCCAAAGTCACCCAGTTGGCTCCATGGCCGAGCGGGGACTCGAACCCGGATCACCTGAGTCCCAGTCCCATGCTCTTAACCACCACACCACACTGGCTCTCAACTTTTATAGGAGATACACCCAGACATGACAAAAGCAATGAGATCTTCAGTCACTGAGTGATTGAGTGACTGGCATGTGTTTTTTCTTCCAAGCTTGGAGTAGAAGGTGTGATCCTATGCGGGTTTAGAGGAAAGAAACCCCTACCACTCCCACTGTCGCCCCAGCCAGCTTTCTGTAGACATTTCTACCTCAAGTCGATTTGCAACAGTTAAAGTTCTCAGTAGCCACTTTTGCTGTCCATCTTTTAAATGTCACATCATAGAAGTGCATCCATATGCCCTTTTAGCAGATTTTCCAAGAACAAACTTTGAAATGAACACTGGCCCCCTCTTTGTTATCCTCACACCGGCCTGTGGGATGTCTGCCTTCATTGGACCCAGAAAAGCAGGATAGAAATGATGGAAAGAAACAAACGATAGATAAGTTAATCTTGCACTGAGGGCATTTTCACTGGTGTGGTGCTGTTTCTTTTACTTTATACTTAATTGCTTTTTTATACTGTATTTTAATTGAGTTCTTAAAGTCTCATTTATTATTGTTAGTTGTCTTGAGCACCATTTTTTGGTAGAAAGGCGGGGTAATAAACTCCTAGTGTGTATTTAAGGTGAGAATGACCTGTGAAGGCTGAAGCATATAATTCTGAATGCGTAACATCAGGATAAGCAGCACAGTCCCAAATGATAGTCAAGGCAGCAGTCATATTTCAGTGGATGTTTGTTTTTTGTTTCTATGACAAACAATTCTCTCTGTAAAATGTAGATTCCTCTTCATACAGGACAGTAACTTGTGTGCCAGATTCTCTGTGCACTCACTGAAAATCCCCAAATATAGCTCTTTCTTCAAGAAAAATTACGTTCTGTTTATCTTAGTAGCAAATCCCAAAAACCAAAATTGGCAGCATTCAGCATAGCTGCAGCATTGTGAAATCAGGCCATTCCAGAGAAAGACAACAAAGCAAGCCTTGTTGCACTGTTCTCAGGCTCCACTTTCAGAGCTTCTGCCCGAAGCTGCAGTGGTTGTGCTTGAAGTCCCCGGTCAGGGTGAAAAGCTACTTTCCCCCATTTTCCTGCTCACAATAATTACTGAGTGATGGCAGTTTTAAATGAAGCATTGAGAAAGTGTGACACATTTTCTGCAGCTAGGTTTATTGCTACTGCCTTGCACTTTTTCCAGTGACTGTATTCACATTTAGCAACAAGCCATGGCAGGAATGGCTTGTTACAGGTGAATATAGAAAGCATGATGACGCTTAGTTACTGTGAGTCACCACGGAGACCCAAGCGTTGTTTTAAGCTTTGCACATTTCGACATTGCCTCTTGTTATGTGTGAAGCCAGTTGCGATGTTTTGCCAGGGTTTCCTCATTTGGCCGGCGAGTTGGGTGGCAGGAGCAGCTGCAGTGGCCGCAGCTTCCATTTTCCACTTCCCCGTTTGCCTAGCAATGGCTGTGCTGCCGGCAGATAGGGCACTGGTCGGCTGCCCCTGCACTCCCTGTCTTGCCTCCTGGGGCCCTGGCTGAATCGCCCCCCCCCCCCCCCCTGCCCCCTTGAAGATCACTCGCCTAACATCCCTGGCCAGATGACAGGTGCCCGTCTTGCTTGCTGCACAACCATGGCCCTCCCTGGTGCAGCGGGGCAGTGGCTGGGCAATGGGGACACAGCGCCGACTTCAGGGGCAGCTGTGAGTGGTGCCCGCTGCACCTGAGGCGTCCTCTGCCACTCACATGAGATGGGGCTTCACAGAACGGCAGGAAAAGAGTAGCAGCCACCTGAGAACACACCCAGGTGTGTGTGGGCCAAATGGGGAGGGGCAGGCAATGCAGGTGAGCACAGTGTGCACTGGGATGGGCTCCCAGCTGTGGGAGCTGATAGAACATGCACTGCCACTAGGAGAGAAAGTGCACATGCAGAAGGTGCATGGAAATTACTCATGAGTAGTAACCTCACAAATGTGTGAACACAAGACACGAGGTAAGCAAGGTATGTGTGAACAGCCCCAGTGTTTCTTACCCTTCCCAATACTTTACGCTTACTTTGCTACCATTTATCTAGTGTAAAGTCTCTATACACACTCAAGCCACCTTCAGGGACAAGCCACTGAAGTTAGAAAGCTTCAATGTGTTTAATCTTGTGCTTGATTGAAGCTTTACCACTGATTCACACCTGGATGTATGTTAGTTAATAGAACTCGGTGCTTTTATCACCTCATACCCAACTGAATTCTTGTCTAACCTTTACATATGCCACATGGTTTGGCAACCTGTGACAACTTTGGGAACTCATACTCAATTAAAGAGGGAAAGCTATTCCAGAATATTAGTATACTTTCCCCAGATAACACATTTAGCATCCTACCTCTCCTTAGGATCCTAAGTAGACAAAACTGAGCATCAAAAGAAAAAAACCTTATTATTTAAGATCTATTATAGAGTGCTATAGAGCTGCCCAGTCCATAATAATTGAATTTTAATATATTATTACACTAGCATGCTATTATAATCACTTCTGTAAATAATGGAGGAAAATACATTTCCAGTTTTATAAATTGCCCCTGAGCTTTGAATTATGATATATCAATGTACTGTCAAATGAATTTGCTTGACTTGAAACCAAAGTCATTTAACAAGTAGTCTGGCCACATTAAAAAGTCTTGAAACTGGAAATGTTAAATTCTGGCATTAGAATATCAAATGCAAATTGAAACGTGGTTCCCTTTGTTCTTCCTAGTGTCTGGAATTTTACAAATGTCAGGATTCAGGAAAATGTACTTGTCCAGCTTTTAAAACCATATTCTGTGCCACTGTTCATACAACAGTTTCTAAACTATTCCACTGACCAGTATTACCTTTGGAATGAAAGATGCAAACTGTAACACTTCATGTTATTATTATTATTATAATAATTAATAATAATAATAATGTTTTTCATCAGTATTCCATTAATCAGACTTATGTTTTAGGGATGTCATGAATTGAAATTAGTTTTGTAAAATCAGTGGAAACTTGTCAATAATGTATCCCACTGATTTCAACTAAAGTTCATCATAGTCTGGATCTGACCTGATTAATTTAGTAGCAGAACAGTCCACCATTTAAAGTAAACCAAAGTTTTGAAGATGTTGCATTAGAATGAAATGTTGGCATGTATACAAACTACCCATTTGGCCACAGGGTCTTTTATTTCACTTCTCCTGCCTTCCTCTCCATGTATGTGTGCACAGGTTTGCTATGGCGCAGGGCAAAAACAGACATTATTTAAATCTGCTGTCTAGTCATTTTTGTTAATATTTTTACATGGTCGTCAATATAGATTAGCATCCCAGTGTGGGAGTCAAAAGACTTTTAAGGTCTTACACCTAACCCAAAGCAAAAATGAAGACATAGCAGCTAAACATACATTCAAAGTAACGTCTGTTTTGGCTCTCAGGATACCAGGAAGTCCATTATGATTATGTGCAGCCAAGATATAGAATCCTGTTTGGGAACCTGGGAACATGGCTAATTTAATTTTTAAAAAGATGAGGCAGACCCAGAAAGTGTTTCTTTAATATATTTTCCAGCTTGTATTTCCAAGCAATGTTTAATGCATTTCTTTTTATTTTCACTCTGCAAGAAGTGTGCCGTAAATTCTTTCTTTCAAAGGCTTAGAAGCAAGGCTTTCAGTCTATTAATAACAACTCCTTTAATAATCTGCAATATGAGTTTTTTTCTTTATTACTTAACATTTTGCTTAGTGGTACAATGAATCCAAGCAGAGCAAGCAGAATGTTATATTTTCTGTTTGGGTGAACTGTATGAAATGTGATAAAATGATATTCTTTGCAACACACACATGCACAGGCATGCGCGCACACACTGCTTTGTAGAATGAGCTCCCGAACAGGTCATTGCTTTCAGCCTTATGCATGTGCACAAACTTGGTGTAAGGTATCAAGAAAGTCTCTTAGGAGCTGGCTCTTCCATTAGGTGGAGCAAAGCAACTGCCTCAGGTAGCAGATGCTGAAGGGTAGGAGCAGACAGAGCTCCGGATGCCAGGTGGCCGGCTCTGCACCCCATGAGCTCAACTCCTTCAGGAGCAAGAGAGGATGCTAATTTTGGAGTCACATTCAATGGCCAATCCAGTTGGATTCTGTATACTGAAAGAGAGGGCACCATCACCTCATGCAACAAATCTCTTGGGCCAGCCTTCCATACGTAGATATGATTTAGGGACATTTTTCCACAACTGTCTATCTCCACTGTACATGGTAAGATGGTCCAATGAAATAGCGAATTCTAAGTCCAGGTTGCCAGTGTCCTGCGCATGCAGTGGCTGCTATGTCTTGAGAGCTTGGACTCATAAAGCCCAGTCCTTTATGCAGAAGTCAGTCCTACTGCTGTCCTTAGAGTGAGGGTGAAGAACCAGTGACCATCCAAATGATGTCAGCTTCCATCTGCGTACACTCTTAGATATGCTATTGTTTACCTGTCCTAAAGATGGCTCTTCTCTTTGCATTGTACACCACCTTATTGTTTTTACGATAATGTGCCTCCAGCATGCTGTACTGATTCCCTCCCCCTCCTCCAAACTGTGTATGTAATTGATAGGTTATAAAAGCATCTTGTACAGACTCCATCTTGGTAGTCCCTTTGGGGGCTACCTACATGCCACATGTATTTCCTGTATGCCTGAATAAACAGTAAATGTTCTTTTGATTGTACACTCCCAGTGGACTCTCATGGTTTTTTGGTCACCCTTGTCGGGTGCAGCTCTTCCATACGGAAACGTCTTGCAACACTGAAGAAGTTTTTAATAAATTCAGCATATGGTTTTTCTTCAAATGTTTCACATTGCTGACACTTGAGTGCTTCATTGTGCTGCAAAAATGAAAAGTTAAAGAAGTTAGCATTGTGCTAATCAAATAAAGAAAATTATTGAAGTGACATGGAGGAACATGACTGACATGGATCATTCTTAATAATAATATCTTACATCGTAAAACTGAGAATATTTTATTATAATTAATCATGAAATTTGACTTGCATAACATTTACAAATTCTTGTTCTAGTTCAAAAAAAGCAACTTATAGTGACTAAGTTCCATAAAGTCAATGAGATTTCTACATGCAGGTCCAATGTGCATCCATAGACAGAAGCAATTATTTCCGTAAGAATTATGAACAACGATTAGGAAAAAAATCCTTAGTTACATTTTCCCACAAGGCCTATAGATATGTAATGCTCAGGGTTTTCTGCACCCATGCGAGCATTTAGATTGCTGAACGCGTGAGGTCTTGCGCCCGACTGTTGCCGAGGCCCAGTCACTGCAGAGCAGAAAGAGGGGTGGTGGAAGGGTGAGGAAGCAGTCCCTTCCCAGAGCAAGTGATGGTTAGATGATAACTGATGCACACGAGGCATTCAAGTTAAGCAGACTTATCCACTGTTTTTAAGATCATGTGGAACAAGCAGCTCAAGAGAAACATTTATGTTCCCCTCAGGAATTCAAATATCAACAGGATAACCTTAAGGAAGCATTGGATGAAATAATGGATTCATGTTCCCTGGCCATTTTCTCCCAATCATATGAAGCCCGCAGGGTTAAATGCTGCTGGGCAGGGGAGGGGGCAAAGTAAATTAGCAACTTTTGTTCCTTTTCTGTAAGATAGCAGTTACCAGTTCTTGAGGGGCTTTTGGGGGGCGGGGGGGGGGGCTCTTGCCAGTTCTTTGCCTACAGCTGCAGCAGAAAGTGCCATTTGCTCCAAGCTTATGCTTACCGGTCGGTGTGATAAAAACCCAGTGACAGATCTGACCAAACGATGCACACTGTCATGAAACTCTGGATCATCTCCGATTTGAGATTCATATAGTATTACTTCTAACTCAAGGAGAAAACACCTGACAACTGATATATTACAAGTAATCTATAAGAAAAGAAAAATTCAGTGGGTTTACAATATGAATAAGTGTTACAATCCCATTTAGACATTCATTGTCCTTTCATTCAAGCTACTCTGCCTGATTCAAAAGTTTATTCATACCTGTAAAAATGCAGTATATGAAGCCATACAATTAAAGTTGTTGGCCAAGAGTTTCTGACCTAACAGAAGCTAGAAACGTTGAGCCCCACTATCCCAGACATAACTTACGGAAAATAATTATGATTATCAAGCCTATGCATTCTGCTTAAAAAGTCTGCTTTAAGAACAATCAGTTCCAATAAAACAGGGGTGAGCATATACAGCCATGTGGGCAGTGGTTAGAGTGTTGGACTGGGATAGGGAAGTCCTGGGTTCCAGTTGCCACTAAGCCATGAAGCTCAAGGAGTGGTTTTGGGTAAGTCATTGACTCGCAGCTCAACTACCTCATTGAGTTCTTGTGAGTATAAAATGGAGAGAAGGAGCAGAAAGATCATGTATACCACCTTAGGCTCCTTGAAAGAAGAGGCAGGGTATAGATATAACAAATCATGTAGCATAACCACCAAGACCAGAGAGTTTCAAAATGTATCCCAGCTATGACATTCACTAAGTGACCTAGGCCTAGTGAAAGACTTTCAGCCAACCCTCTCTCAGGTGAGGTGGGGGAAGGAAGACGGGGAGGAGAGAGAGCCTCAATTCCTCCAACCTCTGTAGAGGAAATATGGTCTAAAATGTAACTGAAGCATCATTTTAGTTAGAATATCATAGTGCAAAAAATACTCTCAAACCGCCAAGCCTGATCTATCTGTGTCAATGTGAGAATCAAAGGGGAAAAATGGATAGTGTCTCCATTAGCCAATCAACAATTGCCAATCAGTATAGTAACAGTTTCAAGTGAGCATGCCTAGTGATAAAATACTCTTTTTTCTTTCTTTTTTGGCAGTTAAATTGTCCTCACAGAACAGGCTTCCCAAAATGTTCTGACAATGTACCAGAATTGCAAGGGGCATTGTACAGCCCCATCCCAAAGTGCCAAATGTCATGAAATTAGGATTAATATGTTGATGATCTCAGGATCACAGACAGAATGAGCTACTAATCAACTATTTCTTATTCTATACTTTTCCCTTTTCATGCATGACCACAGTATATAGATTCAAATGTATGCATCTGTGTATGCATACGCGCACGCACACACACATGTGTGAATGTGCATGTTCTGGTTTTCAGCCAGTGAAAACCAGTGATACCCTAAAGTAGATCACTGCACAAAATATTAAATGTGAACTGTTTTATCTGTACAGTAACACTAAATTTCTTATCTCTATAGGCTCATCTGCCATCAGTTGTAAGTCATGAAATGTCAGACTTGCTAGTGCTGCTTCAGCTTTTGTTAAATAATTACTTGGAAATAAGTTCCACTGAGCTTGCTTCTGATTAGGCATGCAAGAATTTGTTTGCATGTTTGACAATTTGTTTGGTCTGTTCATTAATCTGAACCTGCATTGCATATCATGGAAGGCCGAAATTTAAGTATATAAAATGCCATAATGAATTAATAAACTGCTGACTGAGTGCACTTGATTGTTTTAGTCCTGATAAAAGGCCTATTCAATTCCATCAGTGAGCAATCCTATGGCCCATGGGCAAGCATCCCAGAAACCATAGGATGGCTTGGAAAAATCCCTTCTGAGGGTGAAAATGGCAATCCAGCCTCAGAAGGGGAGCCCGAGAACCGACTCATAACCGCAGCCCCTTGCCAACAGCACAGAAGGTGCTAGCTGTCTCTCTGAGGTAGTGTATTCAACCTTAAAGAGAGGGAAAGGGGGATGTTCCACTGGGTACATGGCGAAGTAGACCAGGATGCAATTAAGCCTGGACTGACTCCTGCTGCCTCCTCTCTTGCTAGAAAGTGCCCTCACTGGTAAAAACAAGGGAGATTGGAGAATGGGGGTGCAAGGGGTGTGTCTGGTGTTCCCCCCACCTGGCAGGGCATAGGAATCTTGGAAGCCTCTGGGTTCAGAGGCCTCTGATCATTGAGGACTCGGTCCATAGGTCATTTTAGAGGCAGTTCCAAAGAATGGACCAATTATTTGGCTCCATCCTGAAGTCATTGGGACACACGGGAGGGTCTCTGGGTGGGAAGGCTTGTTCCTGTCCAAAACCAACAAGGTCTTTACAGGGTTACCACCAGTATGTTAAATGGGGTTCAGAAACAAAACAGAAATGAGTAGGTTTTTTTCAGTCAGGGAGTAACATGTTTGCAGCAGGGAATGCCAGTTAGCAAACTACGGGTCACATTCTGAAATGCTGTGACAGCAGTTTTCAAGAGCAAACCCACAAAGTGCACCTTGTAGTCATCCAGGCATGATGTAACTTGCACTATAGCTAGGTCTACATATTAGTTCAAAAGACCAAGTAAATGATTAATTGCACATTGTAAACAGTATTCAACATAAATATAGAACCAATTTTTATGAGATCTCATCTCATGTACAAATGTACTTACAAAATTGTTTAAATTTGCTGTATATAAAGAGACATCAATCTAAAACACAAAAGAAATGACAACGTAAGCAACAGTTTCAGAAATTAGGAATAATATATTACTCAGATTTCTTTCTAGTTAGTTTTTTGCTGAAGAGGCCAAGTGGAAATCATTGTAGAACTAGATGCTGAGCATTTTGAAAAAATCTACCACTATTTGGGCATGATTTGGAAACCACTGACATTAACAGCAAAATCTCCAACTTCTCTAACATACGTTGGAGAAAGTCGGTGTCAACATATGTGCTCTGTGGTGCTAAAGGAACTATGGCTGAACCTTGCTTTTAGGGAAATAGTTGCTTGCTACTTTACTTCCATAGCAAGACACATTAATATATATATTATAGCTTTAAAAGTTCAAATGTCTTCTTAGAAAAGGCATTTAAGGGAGACAACTAGGGATGCTGGAAAATATCATGCAGGATTCACTGTAAGGTGTGGAATTTTGGAAAGATATGTTACAGAAAGATTTACCAAGACTCTTTTCTGTTATTGCACTTATAATACACTGGGCAGTACCCAATGCTTCTCTACCATTAGCATAAGCTCTTTCTGTATCAATAGCACCTGTAGGCACAGTGAGTTTCCTCCATGGAAAACTCATAATGCCAGCAAGTACCCCTGGAATTAGAGTCAGTTATGCTAGGGTAACATTATTTCTGCTAGTGGTAGTCCAACATTTGGAAGGAGAACTATGAAACGACAACAAAGGCACTATTGGATGCCACCGATTAGATCTCATATCCCAAAGATCTGGCCTCAGGAAAGTTAACCAGACAGTTATAATTGAGGAAAAACCATAACAATTAATAGTGTATAATTAATTTATACAGTGCTTTTAATTTGTAAACTGTTTGTTGTGAACCCATAGCTTTAGCAAGCAATGCAATCCAATGTACATTAACAATTTTATCAAAGGGAGGTTGACATGTCTTTAAAATGTTGATGTAAGTATTTTGTAATGAAACTTGTGGCTCCTGTCATTTCTCATTTTACTGTATTCAGTCTCAGAAACTCTTTCCAAATGCAAGTTCTTGGTTTCTTTTTGGTAGCAATATTCATATTCTTCAAGATAGTACCAAGTCTTGGAAGATATTAAGTAAAGATGTCAAAGCGTGAGTGGTGTTCTGTTGTCTTTTCACTGATTGGCCATTATGTGAATGCTTTTGAAGAAGAAACAAAATGTCAAGCCCTTAGTTCATTTTGGCAACCAATTTTATATCCTTCCATCCTTGATTGTTGTTTTCGTTTCTTTAACCCGGCAGGAAAGGGGAAGTGCATATAGGGAGGTGTTTGAATGTGTATATGTGTGAAAAACAGAGTCACCAGCTGGAATAAAACACATATTGTTTGTTTGTGCAAAACAATAAGCCACCCTACCCTTGATGGGCCTGACAGATGAATGGGACACACTGTGGGTAGCAGACCACCTTAAAAAAATAAGCAGCGCTGCTCTAGATGCCACCATTTCATCTCTCCTTTTGTGCCAAGAATTGTACAGTGGATTGTTGCAACCTGCCCAGAGACCTTCAGCTATGGAGTAGCATAGCGAGGATGATTATGATGTCCTGAAGAGAATTCCCAGTTTTCCTTCCTGGCATTCACACTATATTTCTACTTGAGCACAGTGTTAGTTAATCTCTGCTTTGTGAACTTACCTTAGAATAGTTTTCTATCTTTTCCAAATCAATTATAACTGGATACCAATATTGGTCACTGCTGGTTGGTATTAGCAGATATGAGCTTGGTTTAAACAAAACAATATGCAACTATTAGCAGGCTTCAGTATTATCATAGCAACATCATGAAATAATGGTAAAATCAGTGATAAAAAGAAATAGCACACATTAATCACATCATCTTTGTGAAACTACATGATAAATATAAAAGTTTGCCATTCATAGGAAGTATTTGATTGAACCCCAAAGAGTTTTGCCTGGAGCCAAAACTTTTTCCTTTTCTGCGCCAGGTGAAAACCTTTTTATTTCCCCATTATTTTAATGTTTAATTGGTTTTAATGTGGTTTATATTGTACTATCAGATGTTGTGCCAGTTTATTTCCTATTTTACTTGTTGCTTGTTGTAAACCATCCCAAGATGCCAGTAGATGGATGGTCTATAAAAGCTTTAAATAAATAAATAAATAAATAAATAAATAAATAAATAAAGTGAATTTTTAAATTCAGTAAATGTTTGTTTTTTTTCTTTTACATTGTAGTAGCAAGTATCACTTGATTCTCATTAAATACAAGCCATTGTAATTTGCATTTCCCAAACTTATATGTGAACTAGATAGCAACAATAGATGTTCTCAGGATTTTACGGTACATTCTTCCAATCAAAAATGTATTGATGTAACAATAATAAAATAATAAAACAATGAAATGAGAAACTGGGAAAATAGCATACAAAAACATATACATTTTCATGTGTATGAAACTGTATACCAAATAGAAGCATTTTTGTGCAGACTTTTTAAAAAAATTCATAAACTGATGGTTTGTCAGAACAAACCCATGTTTGAAAATGTGAATGTTATGGAAAGTGGTAACTGTATATGATCCAGACACCTGTTAAATCCCACTAAGCCATCTAAAAGTTGCTTTCTCCTTAAGCATTTCATCACAACCCTATCCTTTCATGCTTAAAAAATGAGACAGCACCAGCCATAGGTGCATGACTCATGAGCATGCACAAAACAGATTTTGAATATGTGTGAAGTTTGATGATGTCAGTTCTTTGTGCTATGGAAGGAAAATTGCATCAAGGATATAGAACACTAAGGAGAGTTCCTTTTTAACATGCATTTTATTGCAGTTTATGGATCCTCCCCTGAAGTCCTAGTATTCAAACATATCTTAATTGGAAAAGTATCTTCAGTTGGTACTTTCAATGTTATTAGGATCTCTCTCCTGCATGTGGCTGTGGATAATACGCCAGTTGTACGATCTTGGTTGGCTACTGGCTGAAGTTTGACTAATGATGATGACTGATCTGTATGAACCATTTCGGATTGGTTGTTGTTAGCTCATTTTAATTATTCAGAAGCTATGCAATTCACCATGTGCTGTAGAACTCCAGTGCAGTGGCACATTTCTAGTTGCTTTTTTAACACCAATGAAACATCAAGCAATTTTCATTCACTTTCTTCAGCAATGTTTTTGCACTGGACCACACTGATACCTGTAGTTGTTTGTTGTTCTCAGTTGCTTTCTTTTTAAACAAGACAAATATCAGCGTAACTACCGCAAGACTTTGCCTCCCTACCCACTCAGTAATGAAGGCAAAAGAGTGCTCTATTTTCTGAAAACTAATATTGCACAAACACTGAAACGCTGTTGGGCTTTCAGCCTGACTGATTGTATGGAAAGACCATAACGTTTCTTTGCCTCAATTCTTCTAACAAGAGACAGTAATTTATCCTGCAATGTTAAGTGCTTTAAATCTCTCTGGCAATGCACAAGTAAATAATAAGAACATTATTACTTTTCAAACTATAATTACCAAAGAACGAAGATGGTAACTGCAGGCTCATTAATTAAAGAACTCCAGAAATAATTGTTCATAATGACATACATTTGCTACTGAAGGCAAACATTCTCAAGCGTGCTTTCTGAAAAACATAATTAAAAAAAGAAAGATTGGTCCAGAAATACATTATGCCATATAACATTTCCTTTCTTTTGCACATATTTCTCTTAACCATTATGAACTTTATGCAATTAAGACACTAAAATAGAAACCATATGATGATGTTGTATTTTAAGAAATGTGTTATTCTTATATATATTTTTACTGAAGTGATATATTTACTGAAGATTTGTCTAGAAATGCAATAAATGGAAAAACATGTATTGAATTAATCAGGCTTGCTCCAAGAAAGATATCTTACATGCCTCTGTTATGCTTAATGCTATTTAACCTGAGTCCACTTTGCCAAATCTTTCCATGCCATCATGTGCGTGACTGTGAAAATGGTGTGTGAGGACCAAGTGTAGCAGTTTATCACCTATTATGCAAGCAAAAACTCTATGACTTCATTTGCAGAGTGGCTCTTCTGGGTTAGGGTTAGCCCAAGACATTTTGCTGCCTGGGGAAGACAAGACGCTATTTCTTTGCATTCCATGTATAGAAGCCAAGCAGATTGGCAAGTGGATTTCCTTCTACCCTGGCGATAGGATTATGTCCTCCACTGCACCTAAGGGCACCAGTCTCACCCAGGGGTGTGGGTGGGCAGACCTGACTACACAACACACAGCACGCACTCATAGTCCATCTGTCACCTGAAGTAGCTGCTTCTCTTTGCCAAGTGGTAGTGGTAGCCTGAACAGTTTCCTGCTGCAACAGTCACAGAAATGTTCCTGCAAACAAGTTTGTATGCAGGAATTTAGCTGTAGAAACGAATCTTCATTTCAGCCTTTGACCTTGGAGGCTTATGTACATCCACTGCATGGAGCAAGCCATGGCAGCAGCAATGGATATCATCTAGACCGCTGGGCAAAGGGAGGGAAGAAAGTAGTGCAGCTACAGAAAACAGCACGAGCTGTTCTCCCTCTGTTGTGCCTAACCTCCTTCCATGTCCCTTTTCCCTACTCTCCCATGTCCAGTTCCACACTGGCCACAAGGGGGCAGGCAGGATGCAATTCATTTTTGGAATCCCAGCTCCAAGGGAACTTGCAACTGAGGCTCCAAATAATCCCATGCCCCCGCCCCCCACAGCCCCTGACGATGTGAGGAGGCCCTAGCATAGACTTCTAGGGTCTCAACAGTGCAATCCTGACCATCTTCTCAAAATAAGCACACTGACTTGAGTGGGGCTTACCCCCAGGAATGTATGTATAAATAGGCAAATTTTTAGATGAAGCAAATTTGAACACAGCCATCTTCACCATTTTTGCATCTATATTTCCCAAGCACTTATAAAGTTAGCTCTGACAGCTTTACACACACACACACACACACACACACACACATACATGTTTATAGGAATTGTTTGGTCATTTTCATGAAGGCAGTTTACAAAGTTCCATAAAGTCTGGGACTTCCTGTGGTCTGGTATGAGTAATTTCCGGTTGTGGGTGGTGATTGGAACAAAGCGTTAGTAGAACATGAAGGTGTTGCTCATGTTAAGAGGTAAAATAAAAGAATATTCTACTTAAGAAATTGACACATTCCCTTTATTGCCAGGGAGTATGAGTTTTGTTGGAATGTAGAGAAAAGAAGGAGCAGAAAACTAGAAAGAAAAACAGAGCCAGAAAACAAGGTCCAGAAAATGACCTTATTCTCTCAGCTGTTCAATAATTTGCCCAAGGCATTTTTTCAGTGTCTTTCCTTTATTGCATTTCTTTTGTCCAATACACTGACCATAGTTGCAATAACCTCTCTCCTGGCTGCACCAAAGGATGGCTCTATCGATTCATATCCTTGCTCAGCATGGACCTGGGTGTTTACCTTTCAGTCTTTACTATGCTATATCTCCAAAGCTACCATAAATAAAATCTCTAGTTTCCAGTGCTGTGTTATTAGAAAATTATGGAGCTGTTGGGAGTCACCACTGTCTATGTCTTCATCCACAGCCAAGTCCTGTACAAAATTCAGCACATTTACTATAGTAATTAGCAAACAAAGGAGACCTGGAAAATGGGAATAAAGGGGTTAGATTGAGCTAAATGCATAAAAATGCTTTAAGGAAGAATTCACAATTTCACATGTTAGTAAAAGGAAAACATAAGAAGTAGTTGGGTAAGTTTGCAGATGATAAGATTTTAGTTTAAAACCATCCATGTGCTTTTCTGGTTTAGCAGATTGCTGAGTCACGGTATTTTCAGCTATGGGGAGGGTGGGGTAAAACACACTCTTAGAAATACTATACGAAACCTTTGAAAATTGGCAACAGTGAAGACAAGCATTTCTGCCTGAACATGCAAGCAGATGTGGTCCATTTTGGCACAACAAAAGCACTTTCAGTCACTGTAAAACGTTGGTGTTTCAGGAAGAGGCCATCAAAGCCAAAGTGACAGGATATAGAAAGTCATGCGCAGAGTAGGCCTGGCCTACTTATCAGTGAAACCTGATGACTCCTGTGCCAGACAGACTCTTTATCCATTGCAGGGTCTGTTCTGAGCTTTAGAGGCTCTATCGTTGGTTCTGAACTCCACTCCCAAAATAGGTCCTTCACCATGGAAAGCTCCTATAAGGTTCCGAATAAAGGATGCCATGGATGAGGAGCCCCACGAACACAACAAAAGGGAAAGAAACAATAAAGAAAGCTGGAGCAACACTGGGGGCATTTTGCTTCCTCAAAACTTTCCCACTCTCCATTCCAATTCTAATCAGTGATATATTGATAGATACTTAAAAAGGATGGATATCCCTGGTAGTTAAAAATGCAGCTTGAACTAAAGGGTATCTTTTGTCCTCATTAGAATCTAAGTGATCAAACCATCTAAATGAAGGTATTACAATATTTATGTGTCACATAAATTATTCATTTTTTCTAAGAACAACCATAAAGCTTCATGTATCTTGAAAATGGCTTTCAATTGTTTGTAAGCAAAAGATTGGTGGGCTGCACCCATTATCCCATCACAGTGCACACCACCGTGAGAGGTGCAGAAAAATATATCATTCAGCACAAAACCTAAGTGATGTCAGAAGCAGACAGATGAAAAATGAAATGTGGAGTGCAGGGGAATCACTTAAGGAATATGCATGAGTTACAGCACTGCACAACCGTAAATCTATGTTCCATTCAGGTGCCACTGTTTAATAAATAATAAATGCTGGCAACAACTATTTTTAAATGCCAAGGTTATATGCGGTTTTGTAGAATGTCAGTTGAAAAGTGAAAATGAAAGAATAAGACAGTTTTAGCAACTTTCAGTACCTTACTAAAAGCCCTGATTTCAGTTAAACCTGGTGGTGTAATCATGCACGATACACACTAGTAATAAGCAGTCAGCATTCACCTGTTCTGGAATGAGCATCCTGCTGAACTGGGAATTCAAAGCATTTTGGTGCCTCTTTCAGCTTTTTGTTTCCTTTCAACAGAATTAACAACAGACTGGCAAATGGACAAAACATTAAACAGGATGTCTACAAATGACAGCAGGATAAGGTAAGCAGGAGAGAGGGAATCGATGCTTCCAGGTGGGACAGGTCTGAGCACAGCCAGTCAAATGACACAGAGCAGCTATTCTGTCTTTTCCTCCTTACACATTTGCTTGAGATCAGAAAAAAAGAAGGAAGACATGATGGAAAATCACAGAAAATCACAAAAAAACAAAGCCACTTCCCTCTCTTTGCATGTTCAGCATATGAAACTTCCTAGTAAGTTTTCCCTTCCCCATTCTAACATTTCTTAGATGTTCATCTGTTACTGTCATAGCTTCTGATGGAAAAGCTATCATAGTTAGCTTTGATATAGAGAAATTAAGGTTCATTTTTCAGTGGAAATTCATTTTTCAATGGAAACCATCTGGCAAACTGAAAGCGTATATTAGTTGCAGTCCTAGTATACCAAAAAAAATCCTAAAAAGTAGACACTTATTTATCAAAGCTACCTTATTATTAGAAACAAGGCTCTTTTATGTTTGGATTTATGTAACAATATATGAAGACTCATCTACTAAAGTACCATTAGACAGGGTGAGACAGCTGTTTCAGGCAGCTGATTTTGACCGCCATGAAAGGACAGAAAAATGCTTGGCTATTTCAGTTATTAGTGTTGTATTTTTTTTTTTTACTTCTGGGAATATATAAAACACTTCTGGGATTTTTCTGCCTCATGTACCATAACGATCTGGATGGTCTTGGATCATATGCATAACTTGGTTCCGAGGTGTCATTTGCTTTTCAGCTCCAGGCAGCAAAATGCCTTTGGACAACACTCCTTAGCTAAGGTTGAAATTCTATGCACATTTACTTGAGAATATATCTAATTGAATGTAGTTGCACTAATGCCTGATAAACATGCAAAGATGGGATGTAACCTATTTCTGAAAATTCACAAATTCACAACTAGTGAATTTCTAGTTTAACCCCCTGCCCTCCAGGCACCAATCCATGCCAACAGTTATTTTGTTACAAGCTTGGGGGAGGGGGGTTGACTGAGTGGATCCAGGGAAAATGCTTTTTTTTGCAGGAGGGATTGGCTCCTGATATGGTTAAAGACCTTCTCCTGAAAAGGTCAGGAGGGTGATAACTACTGGCAAGTGGTACATACACTCCTTTCCAGTAAAAGGCTCTCCTGGATCCAATGTGATTTCTGGCCTGGTTTGGTGACAGAGACCACCCTGGTTGCCCAATGAATGCCCTTTATTGATAGACAGATGGGGCAGTACAGCGCCCTTGATTCTGGGAGCAGGATTCTCTTAGACCACTTGCTAAGTATGCCTGACTTTCACATATACTTTCCAAGGCCAGATCTTGGCAAAAAGACTCAGACTCATCCAGCCTCCTCCCCTCTGGCAAGGCAGTCAGAATATGACTCTCAGAATTCATACTTTCCAAAGCTAGAACTGGCTGTATGTCTGCCCCCTCCAAATACAAATCTGGATCTTCCCCAAGAGCCTTCAGGCCTGAGAAAGGGAGAGTCATGAGAAGGTCCAAGAT